GGACGCCCAGCACCCCGCGTCCCCACACCTGCCCCCAGTCCAGACCGGACCTTCTGGAGACAGCGCTGGACGCCCAGCACCCCGCGTCCCCACACCTGCCCCCGGTCCAGACCGGACCTTCCGGAGACAGCGCTGGACGCAGCAGCCCCGGCCCCAGGCCCCAGGTCAGGGTGTGAGAGAGAACTGGTCCTGTTCTGTGGGCTTCTCCACCCAGGCGCCCAGCCCCGCCTTGACGAACGCTCTGAACAGACACGCCTTGGCGGCCTGGTACTCCTTCGCCACCAGCTTGGATTCATGGTACATGTTGGGCTTAGTAACCTTGGACCGTAACAAGTTGGAGGGAACCTGTAAGAAGTCAAAAAAAAGCACGACTATTTACGCAGAAACAGCAGAAAGCAAAACTCAGGAAGACATTCAAAATCTGGTATTTCGTCCTACGCTGGCTCGTGGGGGACAGCCCCGAGGCAGCAGTGCCTTCCTCCAAGGGGCCGTGTCACACAGGGCGCAAGGGCCCGCGACCGTCGCGCCCCCCGCCCCCCGTGGAGCCGGCGCCCCGTCAGACAGGCAGTTTCAGACCCCGGGTTCTAAAGAGGGGCTTCTGAGCCCACAGGCACCTGACTCCAATTTCGATTTTAATCTTTTCAGCTATTGAAACACACAGCCCGTCTGATGCTACGTGTGTTTCATTCACACCGAAGGACTGGGAGGCGCTGCCCCCCCCCCCGTGGCTGGCTGACTCATGCTGGTGCAGGTCTCGGGGATAAACAGGGTGCGGACCTCCAGCACAGGCGCCCCTGCTGCGGGAACAGGGACGGGAGCGCGAGACGGCTTCGGTCCAAACCGCCACGCCAAGTTCGGTGCCATCCCTCTAACAAACACCCGCCACGCCCCCGACCGATAAAGGAAAACCAGCAAGACGCGCACGGACCGGACCGGAGAAGGTCTCATCTGGGGAAAGGGACCCTGCTGCTACTGCAGGAACAGGCCTAGGGCCTCCTGAGGGCCGCGAGGGGGCCTTCCCTCCTCTGGTGGTGGAATCACCTGGCAGCACGTGCAGGTGAGAGGGCCCCCCCCCCCCCCCCCCCCCCGCCCCCAGGAAGCCAGCGGGAAGGGAAGAGCTGCCTGAGGCTGCTTCAGATGAGAGGAGCCGGGGCCACACTTCGAGGTGAGGGGTCCCAAGGAACAAAGAGGTCTGGGAAAGGCCGTGGGGATGGTGGCGCGGGGCTTTGTGGAACAAGCTGCGGGGAGGCGGGGCCGGTACCTTGCCGTGCACACGCATCCAGCGACAGTACAAGGCGTGCTTACACAGGCGGGATGCACGGCCCAGCTCGTCCTTCCCCGTCGTGGCGTTGATGACCTCGATGGCCGAGTCACCCACCGTCCAGTTGACGCTGAAGTTGGGTGCCTTCCCTGGCTGCCGCGCTTCTGCGTTGCTGATGCCTGGAACGGAGAGACACGGGCGAGGTGACGCGGGGCTGGAGGACGCGGCCCACGGGTGCACGGGCCCGGGTGTGCTCATGCCGTCCAGGGCCACCTTGAGCCGCCCAGAACCGCGCTCGGCTGTGCCCGGGGGGTGGGCATCAGTTCCACAGAAGCCCAAAACCGTGAGGCCTCACTTGGGGTCCAGAGCTAGATGTCCGAGCGTGAGAACCACTGCTGGGGCTAATTCAGGTCACGCGAGGTTGTGCCCTGATGGCGGACCCTTGCACACCACACCCGGGTCTGGCGCTCGCACCCTGCACGGCCAGGCTCCCCCGCCCTGCACGCACTACACCCCAGAGACAAGGAACCTGACTTGATGAGTGCAGGTACGTTTTCTTTCCACGCTGAAATGGTCCTAACGAACCGAGTCTCACTTGCTGGGCCCGAGAGATTCTCACAGGACCCTCGGAAGGCTGGAGCTGGGTGCGCACCTCCCCCATCGGTGCCCTGAGCTCCAGCCTCCATTCCTCGGGGGGACACGGGCCACCCTGACTCGGGGTGTGTCTTCAGAACACGCCCACAACGGGAGCCCCCCGCCAGGTGCGCCGACCCGGCTCCGTGGGGCTCCCCCACCTCGGGCCACGCTCTGCTTCTGCTCCAGGGACCATGGCCGCCCTCGAACAGAATGCTACAGCCGAGGCCACAGGCTGGCCCCCAGGCTGGCTTAGAGTGTGGAAGATGCGACTTGAAGCCACATGATGGAAGAGACCCCAGTCCATGGGGCAAAGTGGCCACCGGTCTCGACGCGGGGTGAAAACCCACACACACGTGTCACCCAGGTCTGGGATATTCACTGAAAGGGACTGGAAGGTGTCTCCTGGGAAGTCCATGCCCTCGTGAGCAGGGCAGAGGCCACCCGGGGCCAGAGGCTGGGCACCTGCCGTGCCCACACTCAGGATGGGGGAGCCCCAGCCCTGTCTGCGAAGCTCCTCACCAGCAGGGCCGGCCGCGGGCGCCGGCTCATGCTCTCCGTGCTCCCCGACAGCTCCTCCTGCACGCAGTACCTGCCAACCCCCCGGTGCATGGGGCAGGCGACCTGCCCCTGCCCTGCTGGTCCCTGAGAGCCCCAGCGAGGGACCTCACTGTGAGGAAGAATTCAGGATTCGCCTTCTCTGTTAACCTGCTGATCACTCTTTGATTCCAAGACGTGCGCGGTGAATCCTACTTTAGGCAAACGTTTTCACTGAGGCGTGACAAATCACAAGGATGCAGCCTTGTGAGTTTTCACAAAGCGAGCACACCCACAGCCGGTGTCCTGGCACCGGAGCCCCCCCGCCTCCACAACTGCCCCCTCCCCCGAGCGGGCAGCCACCGCACTGACCCCAGCACGCTGACTGGCGTTGGCCGCTGCGAGCTTTACACTCGTGGGGCCACTTACACAGATTCCCCTGTGCCTGGTGCCTTACACCCGAGGCCACACCCCTTCCACGTGGCCGGGGCCCGCCCAACCTCACTGCCACACAGGACCCTGCTGGCAACACATCACCGTGGACTCTCACTTCGTTGTTTTTCCTAGTTCTTGGCTATTCTGAAGAGTGTGTGCGTGAACATTTCTGACCACACGCTTTGGTGAAACATGTACATATTTCTGACAGATGGACACTAGGCACGTGATGGCTGGGCACTGTATGAGGTATTGCACGAGAACACTGGAAACGTCAGACAAACCAGATCGAGTTGGCTACAACACTTTTCTACATTAATCGATCACATGTAAATGTTACAATGAACCACAAAACAAACACACCAGTACACATCTGCTATTATAAGCAGGGAGTAATTAACCAATGAGCAAACTCACCACATAGTTCAAGAAACCACCTGAAACACAGGAAAATCAAACTAAAGTTCCAAATCAATTCAACAAAGCCGCCTTCCTAAAAAGAAGTCCCACTGGCTGGACTGGCGCAGGAGTCTAGCACCTCGATAAACTCACAGTGAGGAATGTGCTCATGAACCAAGCGGCCCCACAGGGAACTGGACCGTCACACAGCCCCTGATACGTATGGCCCGTGTTTCTTCTCCCGCTTGTCAGGAGAAGTTTTTAAAAATGTTTTATTTTCTTGAGAGAGAGAGAGAGAGAGAGAGAGAGAGAG